ACCTGCCGCACAGAGGGCACCTGCAGTTAGATTACAATAGCACCAGTCATATAAAACTTTGTCGTTTCTCATCTAATCTTCCTTGTAATCAGTAGGCAAAAGCAGAAAGAAAGGCAATAGAAGAGTGAAGGAAAATTACAATGCTCTTCTGAGTCATGACTAGGTCTGAGTTGAGGAAGCTTTGAACTAGATGTAAACTTTTGACTAGACTGTAATACCTGTAATACCTTAAATTTAATTTAAACTAAGGTTAATTCTTAGAGTTAAAAATGACCTCCAAAATGCATGAAAGTCAAGGACAGAAAAAAATAAAGCTAGTTCCTATTAGCATACCATATACCAGTCTTGCCAGCCGATAATGTCAGCATGTACTCTGTTATGTAAGTCAGGAATCTAGGAATCATCCTAGATTCTCCTTCTCCCTAAGACCTTGATGTCTAGCCACTATGTCTTAAACTCTTTCCTCTTTTTGTTTTTATTTATTTTTTGTGTAGAAGAACTAGGGTGTAGACCAGAATTGCAGGGGTTGAGAGGACTCACCAGACACAGAGTGGGGAGTAGAACAGGCAGATCTACTGAAATACACTGCTAAAGGGAGTAGTGGGTGAGACAGGAGAGGTCTGCTGCGCCATATTGGTGTTAGCTCCCTGGCCAGGGATTGAACTCAGGCCATGGCAGTGACAGTGTGATAGAGCTGAGACTTAACCCCTACACCACCAGGGAGGCCCTTAAACTCCTTTCAATACATCTCCCTTCCTGTCCTTTAGCTACTAAGTCAGCTCAAATGTGAAATATTATAATAATCTAGTTTAGTGTCTCTACCCTTTTTTTTTAAAAGATTTATTTATTCTTATATACAAGAACTGGGGTACAGGCCAGAGGCATGGAAGGGTGAGAGGATTCCCCAGAGACAGAGTGGGAAGCAGAACAGGCATACGGACTGAAAGCACTGCTGAGGGGAGTAGCAGGCGAGACAGGAGAGGTCTGCCACACCATATGGGTAGCTCCCTGGCCAACCGGGAATCAAACCCATGCTTCAGAGGCTGCGGACAGCTTCACAACGCTGTGCTCAACCTGCTGCGCCACCAGGGAGGCACTCTACCCTTTTTTTTTTTTTAACTTTCATATTTTAAATCTAATACCTAGACACTAGTCACTAGTTTTTCTAAGAAGCCCCCAGATATCCCTAAAATGCAATCAAGGTTGAGAATCACTAGTCTAACTGATCTCTCTCAGGATCCAGATGTGCTTTCCCCACACTATCTTTCAATAATGCCACATGTCATCTTTTTTAAAACGCAAGTCTCATTATCATAGAGCAGTGGTTCTCAATCCAGGTCACCCATTACAATCACATATGGAGTTTTTAAAAGTATTAATACCAGGCCAAATTCTTGAAAAATAATTAAAACATCTTGGGGATGAAAACCAGGCATGGGCATTTATTAAGGTTCCCAGGTAATTCCAAAGTGTAGACAAAGTTGAGAATCATCGCCCTAGAAGCAACAAGAAGCCACAAAGCCTTTAAGAATAAACTCCCATCTGCCCTGAAAGTAATGGAACCTTCCATCTAACCTCGCACCCTTGGCTCTCACACTACCAAAGCAATATATCTCCTACAAAAGCCACACTTTTATACATTTGTGTAAAATATTAGCTAAATTAAGGGAGCCCCCTCTGCTCAGCTAAGACCTAAAGCATCCTTAAGGTTAAGACCTTTCTAGAAGAACCTCCTTTGTATAAATCCTCCATGACACAACAGCAGAGCTCATCAATTTAGCCGTGACCACTATGATTTTGAGGGTAATTTTTAATGTTTTAAGTACAACTTCTCACCTAAACTACTTGAAATTAAAACCTATCTGGGCCTCCCCGGTGGCGCAGCGGTTGAGCGCTGGGTTGCGAAGCTGCCCGCGGCCTCTGCGGCGCCAGTTCGATCCCCGGCTGCTTCCCGGCCACCGGAGGAGGGTCCCACATGGCGCGCAGACCTCTCCTGCCGCCCGCTGCTCCCCTCAGCAGTGTACTTCGGTCCTTCTGCCTGTTCTGCTCCCCGCTCTGGCTCTGGTGGATTCTCTCACCCTCCCGCGCTTCTGACTGTACCCAGTGCTTGTATAAACAAAAACAAACAAATAAATAAATAAATAAAAGACTGACACTTAAAAAAAAAAAAAAAAAAAGAAATTAAAACCTATCTGACTCATACTTTTATCCCCAGTGACTATCACTATGCACAGCACATAGTAAGCACTTATATAACTATTGACTTCATTCCATGTAAGAAATAATTATTAATATATACAGGTAGAATCCATTTTAATAACTGATGTAGTATCAGACATATTTATACATTATAATCAAGTATCATTAAGATAGAAACTAATAGCCAGACTTTTTAAAAAGGTAAGGCAAGCTGTTAATGTTTGCTTTATTTATGAACAGTAAAAAAAGTTGGGTACAAAGGGCAATATGTTTCCAGATTCACATAGGAAGCTCTTACAGAAAATGACACTTGGTTTTCCACTTGAATATGTTCTTTAAAACAAACCTTTTTTAGGAACCTTATTACACTGTTGGTGGGAAAGTAGACTGGTCCAGCCCCTATGAAAAAAGTATACAGACTTCCCAAAATATTAAAAATGGATCTGCCACAGACCCAAAGGTTCCAATTATAGTTACCTATCTGAAGAATACAAAAAAACTAATTTAAAATGAAACCTACATTCCCATGTTTACTGCAGCACTATTTACAATAGTCAAGCTATGGGAACAACCTAAGTGCCCAAAGAAAAGATGAGTGGATTAAAAAGATGTGGTATATATACATAATGGAAGACTACTCAGCGATCAAAAAAGATAAACTCATGTCATTTGTGGCAACATGGATAGAGCTGAAAGAGATTATGCTAAGCAAAATAAGCCAAAAGGAGAAAGATAAATAGCAGATGATGTGACTTATATGTGGAGCATAGAAAAACTAAACACAGGGTCAGACAAAGACAAACTTCAAAACCAACCCTTGAAAGTTGATGATAGAACTGAGGCATTGCAAAGGGGATGAAAATACAGTGGAGACAGCAAACAATGGACTATAGTGGAGGACAGTGCTTGCTTTCATGATGCGTGCCCTAAGGTGACTACACATGACGGCGGAGTTTCTCTACTTCCAAAACATTAACAAATATGGAAGCCAATGGCACTTTAAAAAAAATACCTTTTTTACCCAAAGCAATATGTAGGATCAATGTACTTCCTATTAAGATTCCAACGGCACTTCAAAGAAATAAAACAAACAATACTAAAATTCACATGGAAATACAGAAGATCTTGAATAGTCAAAACAACTCTGACAAATAAGTGGAAGATGTGACAAAGGGCTGGTATCCAAATACAAACAGAACTCAAGCAACTCAACAGAGAGAAAACAATTAACCCTATCAAAAAATGGGTAGAAGAGATAAACAGACATTTCTCCAAAGTAGACATACAGATGGCTCAATAGGCACATGAAAAAATGTTCGTTATATACTTAGCATCAGGGAAATGCAAGTGAAAACCACATTGAGATACTACCTCACACCCGTGATAATGGTTCATATAAAAAAGACTGGAAACAAGTATTGGCAAGAATGTGAAGAATATTCTTACATTTATACTCTGTTGGTGGGAATGTAGACTGGTCTAACTCCTCCAGAAAACAATTTTCAGTTTTCTCAAAACATAAAAAATAGATCTAACGTATGACCCATTAATTCCTCTCCTAGGCATCTATCCAAAGAACACAAAAACACTTATTTGTAGGGCTATAAGTACTCCTATACATTGCAGCCCTATTTAAAATAGCCAAAGAATGGAAACAACCTACATGCCCAAGGACAGGGAATGGAATAGAAAATGTGGTATGTGTACACATAAACATACAATGGAATTCCAGTCAACTATAAAAAAAGATGAACTCCTGCTATTTGCAGAAACATCAATGGAACTAAGTGAATGCTAAGTGAAATAAGTCAAGAGAAATACAAATGCTGGATGGTCCATTTATATGTAGAATATAGAGACAAAACAAAGGGTCAGACAAAACCAAGCCAATAACAAACCCTTGACATCTGAATGCAAAACTGAGATAACCAGGAGGAAAGGGTGGTGGGGTGACAGTGGGGGAGGGGAGGGACCCAAAGAGCACAGTGAAGGATTATTTGGGCTTTGGTGGTGGGCATGATATGAAAAAATAGTTTAGAGGTTTGAACAAATACCCCTAAAACAAATACAATGATGTAAATCAACTTTTCCTCAATGAACATAAGTAGAGGGGGAAAAATACCTGTTTTCAAACATGTGGTATAATGACATCTGTATGTTTCAGGAAAGTGAGCTAAGACTACTTACTTTACCTGTATGTTTTAGGAAAGTGAGCTAAGACTACTTACTTTACCTAGGAGTAAAATGATAGGTACAATAAATGAAAAGAAATTACGAAAAATTACCAAGTACTCTCAATGAATTGTACTAAGCTTTAAGATATCTGATAATATGGTTACCAGCATTTAATAGCAATTTCTAGCAGTCTGGGTACTGTGTTACCAGCGAAAGTTCAGATCTCCATGACACCCGTGACAGCTTCGGCAGAATACATAAAGTATTTCATTTTTAAAAAGTCGCATTTAACATTTAATATTTATAAAATCACTCTATATGTGACTTACCCAAATATGGTAACCCCGCACAAATATTAACAGTAAAGGTACTAAATATATATTCAAAAAATTTTTATTGTACCCACAGTCCAATGGGCCATGTCAATTATTTTAGCATGCAAAATGATAACTATGTTACTCTGTATTTAGTTAACTGTCATATATCCTTGATTATTAAATTATTCCAGTATTTACTGAATGTCTATTACTTGTTTGGGAATATAATGAAACTAGTATATGAAGTGACCAGTAAGACAATAAAGGCATTAACCACAATATTTGGCATTTGTGGCTAATCTTTTTTACCTTATTTGGCGATTTCAAAGGTGAGATGGCTATTTTATTTGGTGTCTGTGTTGTAGAATTTAAAGTTGATCCAATAACACCACTTTCAGATATTGTTATGGTCTTTGATGGAGTCCCGGGAGTAGACTGTGAAAGAACCCTACCTGCAAATGAGAGGCAGCACATCAGTTTGACTTTTTTCAATAATAGTATAAAAAAGAATGTGATGATGATCTACACCACCAAGGACTGTAGATCACTAATTCATATTTATCCATCTATAAACTCAAACATGTGAGTCCCTAATTACCCATGGTGAATCTAGGCAGAAGAGCAAAACAATGCTTCTTAGTGACACTGTATCTTAACCACTTTACATAAAGCTCACAAAAACATTTCTGCTCATCAATACATTTTCATCAACACTGTTGTCATATCCATCAGAAAATAGGCTAAGGACAACTAAGAAATATGTCCTATGTAATACACCTCCTGGAAATGAAGACCTGAATTCAAGTCTTAAAACACCAGTTTCTGTTCTCTGCTATGCTATAGCTCTCTTCTTGTTTGAACTTAAACCCTTCAAGATACAATTTAAATCCACATCTATAAGACAAGTAATTATTGAACTACTTAAGTACTGTCTGATGTTACACTGTGCGACTTCTAGACTGTCAAAAGAAAAAAAACTTTTTTTCTACTAGCTGTTCTGGCCAGATTCCAAGAGGAATACTGTGTTCCCTTCTGGGCAATACTCTTTAGGAACAAAATAGAAAAATCAGAGTGTGTCTTAATAGCTTAGGGAATTGGAAATCATATTACAATGAGTTGAAGTATAAGGAATTTTTATCATAGGCAAGAGAGGGATGCAAAGAAAAAACACACGAGTCATTAGTGCCATTCACCAAGATTCTGGTTCTCACCCATTCTGGGCGGTGTTAGAACTGTACTTCCTACCCTACTCACCGTAGTTAATTTAGGGCCATATGACCAGTCCTAGCAATGAGTCATGCATAGAAGTAATGAATATCATTTCTGGGCTAGAACATTTGCTGCCTATGCAAGACTTTCCCAAAACTCTGTTTTCTCTGCCACATGCAAGGTTGGTAGATCTGTCAGTCTGGGTCCTTGAGTGGCTAAATAAAAGTCCCCTTTCTAACCTATAATAGACATGAAGTTTGAATAAATACTAAAATTTTGGGTTCTTACAAAGTCTTCTAAAGATTCAGAGCTTGTTTATCATGGCAGGAAACCCAAGATTACTCTGACTGATGCTGGTTGTCAGTTGAAGGATTAGAACGAAGCATAAGTACACAGAAACAGAAAATTTTCAATTTAGGACTAAGAAAGAACTTCTACTGAAAAGTTCCAGTGAAATGACTGTTTCAACATAAGGGAGTTTCTAGTCACTGAAAAGTTTCCTGAGCAATTGCTAAATAACCAAATCCACTGATTAAAATGGAGTTCAGCACCCAAAAAGTGCAGAAGTAGAAAAATAAATTATCTCTAAAATTCCCTCTCATCTTTAGATGCTATGATTTAACTTAAAGGTATAGCTAGAGATGAAAAAAGAGGGAGAAAGGAAAGAGACTTTCTCTTTAGACAAAAATTATTATTATTATTTATTAGTTGTTAGCTATTAGATAGCACTTTTGTGCCATTTTCTCAGATAATGCCACAACAACATAGCTTCTTTTAAGTGAATCAAATTTTATCTAACATTTACAAATTTAAAAATTATTTCAAACACAATTTTTTTCTGTTACTTTGTAGTACATGATTACATTTAATTTTATGGATATATTCTTTAATGAATTTCAGTTCAGTGTTTTTTTTTTTAGCCTGAATTGCATCACCGCTAAATAAGCCAATTTTATAAAATAAATCTACATCAAATAGTTTTAGAAGATCACCCTAAAGTTTGCTGGTTCTTCATTCCAAAGCTAATACCTATGGGTAAGACTGAAGCTGCACCAACCATTATGTTAATATAAAAATACCAATAAAGGTCCAGTGTAATAAAATATTCACCATGTATGGTTATTATAATTTATTAGTTGTTAGATCTTACATATATTTCAGAAAATGTCCACATAGAAAATCCTCAATTCTTGAGGATAATTGACACCAGAGAAAGACCACTTCAAATGAATTCACTTAAAACAGGAATAAAAATTTCATTATAAATAAAAAGAGAACTAAGGATAAAATCTTCACTTTTTTTCCCATTATATTTAACAAAAATTCAATTTATAACTACAACTACAGTTATCCTTGGGATGAACAAAGGACAAATCAACTGTTGTGTTTGAGGCAAAGAGAAGTCTTCTGAAAATCTGTATAACATTTTGTGTTGATGGGTACAACCTGATCATATAGGTCATTCCTTGCAAAAATACTTCAAGATTTCATCAATTTCCCCAAGAATCCTTTAGACCCTTTAAAATTCAAGTTATTCTTTTGAGGATTCTGCTTGTTTTTCATTCAGATATCAATTCTTCTGATTATCTTATCTAATCTCCAAATCCCTAGTTGCTTTTAGTCCCACAGATTCAAACATATATACAAGTTATACAATCTCACCTTGAAATCATTTTGTAAGGCATCTACACTCTACTGTCAGAAGTTCTCCAGAATTAAGAAACATACTCTAAAAGCTACCAACAAGACAGGCTGAGGCAGGGAACTAGCATATCTCAGTAAGAACTAAATCTATTAGAGATTAATTCATTAGTGAATATTATTACATTAATGATGTTTGTTCCACTATAGCAACCTTCTACTTTGTGAACTTTGAAAATGAGGACCTCTGCATCTCACTTAACCACCTCAAGTCTTGTGAAGTAGTTGGCATTAACATTTTACAGACCTAAGTATGGTAAACAGATAATATAATTACCCAATAATTTGGAGAAAATAAATGGAGGAGTCTTGACTAAAACCCAAGTTTCCCATAGCACTATACTGCCTCTATAATGTACATATTCATTCAACAATCCATACTCACTAAATCACATCTATGTGCCAGAAACTGTGCTAGCTATTGGAAAGAGATAAACACCAGATAAAGGAGCTACCATCAGTGTGGTACATACATACAATGGGATATTATTCAGCCTTAAAAAGAAATTCTTACATATGCTATAACATAGATGAACCATCAGTATAGTATGCTGAGTGAAGACAGTGAGTCATAAAAAGACAAACACTATAGGATTCCACTTACATAAGTTACAGAGAGTAGTTAAAATGTTAGAGATGGAAAGTCTTTTCCAGGGGCTGAGGGGAAGAAGGAATGAGGAGTTATTGTTCAATGAGTACAGTGATTCAGTTTCGCAAGATGAAAAAAGTTCTGGAGATGAATGGTGGTGATGGTGAGTACACTCACAGAACAATGTGAGTGTACTGAATGCCACTGACCACTTAAAAATGGTCAATTTAAAGTATTTATATTTACCACCATTAAAAAAAAATAATTAAAACTAGATGATAAATAAAAATAACCATTAAGAAAAATACTAAGTTTACTGTGGAAGACAGAAAAAAACCATTAATTATAATAAAGAATGATTAATGGAAACATAAAAAGTGACTATGAAATTTAATAGAAGTCTAATTATAGTTTGGTATTTGCAGGTGTAAGTTTTATGGAAATACATAGATGGCCAGAAGAGTACCCAAGTAAACCTAGGAATTTGCCAACATAGGTGGAGCTAATCCAAAGACACATAAGCTCAGAGGATACATAAGCCCAAAGGAACAGCAAAAACCCGAGAGAACATGGTCAATTTGGTGATCTCTTAAAATAAGTTAAGTCAGTAGGTCTGGAGCTGACAGGAGGTGAAAATGCTTTGTGATAGGCTCATAAATGCTTTTAGTGCTAAGAAAGCACTAGCATTTGATCTTGATTCTGATAAACTGAGGTCAAGAAATGGATAAGAAATGGCTACTACTAGGAAAATTTCAACAGGGGTGTATCAAGATAAGATGTGCATTTCAGTAAAACACATACAAACGTGTTTATCTTGACTAAAAAGCAGGAAAAGATATTCATCTTCAATGAGAAATCCACAAGTCATTAAAAACCTTTTAAAGGTTCTTTGAAAGATCATTAGCTACAATAAAAAGATTGAGAATCTTCTTGTGACAAGATAATTCAACAAGAGAGCTTCTCTGGTGGTTAAACATCTGTGGCTTCTCTGAATTTAAAAGACTATAAAGAACTAGTGAACAGTAGAAATTATCCCTCCAAACTGAATTTAATGCCAACAATTCTAGTGAAATTTCATAGGTTCTATATGCATTTTGGTAGGCTAATATGTGTTTATAATTAGAGGGTAAAGCAATGGTTAATGTACTCAAAGACCAAGCAAAGACATTCATCATAAGACTCAAAGACCAAGCAATGACATCCATTAATGTCAAAAATAAAAGAGATGAAATCTTGACATTGGCAAAAATTTATTCAGATATTTCTGCAAATATTACAATTGTTTAGCATACAACTTTCCCAGTAACTAAAAAAAATTTAAGGGATATTCTCTGAAACTCAAGAAACAGTAAAGACTAAAACATTCCTCCTGGTAAGCCTCCTCGACCTCAAAACTTCTCAGAGGGCTAATGCACCTTTTTTTCTTAATACATCCAAGCCTTGCTCATTTTCAGTCAACTAAAACCCTTCCTGAATCACTCCCAAACCCAAACCTTTCCTAATCTTTTTTCTGGGGCTATCCCTGCCTCCCATTGACAGTTCTGAAGACACCAACCTCCTCAAACACCACAAATCTGTACTAAGGATCAAAAGAGAAAAAGAGCACTCACTCACCCAACACTACACTCAAACCACAATCTTCCCTTGCTTGCTACAATGAGAAACCTCCCTACATACAACTCAAAGACTTGAAAAACCATGAATCACTGCCATTGACTTCAAAGCTGCCTACTGCCTGTAATTTTTATTAAAGACAGCAGTGTGTGTGTGTGTGTATATATATATATATATATATATACACATATACACACACACATACATACATATATATGCATGCTTGCTGGGGATGGTTAGTTTACATTCTAGGAATGGGTTATTAGCATATGAAAGTTTTTAGTCAAAAGGTACCATCCAGAGATGTTTCCATAGCTGTCAGCACAAGGTAAATTAGAAATGACTTCCAAATTGATGAAAAAACAAATGTTAGCAGCGCTCTGAATTCAAGACGAGTCACCATAACTGTGATTTTCTCTAGAAGCATTTTGTTGCTTGTCAGGCAAAGAGTAAGAAGAGATCTATTCTTAACTAAGACATAAAAAGAGAATCAATGGTATTTCAAGAGAGTGGTAATTACAGGGCCACAGACTCCAGTGTGAGAAAGAACTTCAGCAAAGAAGGGGATGATTATTGATGAGAAAGTAGAAGGATTAATGCATCACAGATTTCAAAGAATTGCCAGATTGGGTATACAAAAGAAGGTTAAACTAGAATATTACAGGGAATGAAATACTCAGTTAAGATTTCTACAGTTTTATAAATTCTTGGTGATGACAAATTTCAAAGTATATAATAAAAGAATATTGGGCCACACCAGAGAATTTGCTGGTAATAGTAATATAGCTAAAATTCTGTTACAACTTAAGTAAATTACAAATAAGACAATTGCCTATTTGTAAATAATTTTATAGAAAATGTACTCATTAAAATAATGAGACCAAAAATTCAAACAGTAACTATGAAAAATTATATTATGTAATCTAAACCTATTAGACTTAGTACATATACTCTAGAGACCCTGAGTGGGTTCAATTCCCAGTTCAGTCATTTGCTGAGTGCCTCCATTTCCCAACTGATAAAATGGGAATATTAGTACCTACCTCATAAGATCATCAGACGAACACACATGTCACTATAGCTAAAGAGCTAATAGTGCAGGACAAGAAGCAAACACTATAGAAATGCTAGCAAGTATTATTGGAATTTAAGATTACTTTCATGGTAAAAACCTACCAATAACTAAGGAAACTAAAGTAATGAACTGACTTTGAGAAAAGGCATTTTGTTTTAAGCACATATTTAATAAATGTAACATATTTTATTAACTAGTTTGGTTTATAATAATAAGTCATACTTATTGCAGTAAAACATCTCAAGGTGGTAGAGCAGCCTTTTTAAATCTAAAAGGCATGTAAATTTATAGCTTAGTAAACTATAAAGAAATATAACCTGCAATGACTGGTGGTGATACTTGAGTTGTCTGTCCTGTAACTGCTTTACTATTAATTGGTTTTGCAAAGATCAGCTTCGTGATTACCGGACCAGAGGTTGGTGTTCGAGGCTTCTTAGCAATCTGAAATATATAAATAACTATGAAGACCATTTGTTTCCTTAAAACACCTATCCAACCGAAATTAGACAAAAGATTAATATACAGAAGTACACGTAAAATGAGCTTATTTAACAAAATATATTTAAATACTAAGGTTGAAAACATTTAAAATGGAACCAATCATCAAAATATTAAATATGATCACACACTTAAGTCAATATACACCTTTACATTTTGCCATAGATTCTTACGTTAGTCCCTGTGATATGTGCATGATGAAAACCAAATGTTTAATGTTTAATAGCAATGTTTATTTAATATTAAACATAATAAAAACATTGAAATAGCAATATTCTTTTTTGAAATAAATTTTCAATAATAAAAAGATGAAGTAGAGTAAGTTAAAAAGTATAGTGCAAATGATCAAGACACCATTGAAAAATTACATTCACCCCTGGAATCAAAATACAAACATACATTAAAGATAAGCTTATGATTAAGATCTTAAAGTTTTAGGTCTATGTATCAGAGTAGGTAAATGAAAAACTGAACAAGTTAATGCTCTAAGATACAAAGGATACAAAAAATAAGTTTGGCAACAGAAAGAGTAGTCTAGGACAAAGACTGAAATATTTACTGAAAATACTGTTTACTAGACTATAAATTCCTTGAAGGGAAAATCTTTATTTTATTTATCTTTAATCATAAGATATATATTGGCATACTGTGGACATGCACTAAAGTCTCCACAAATCAAGGAAGACTGAATTACTAATTTTTTCATATAGAAATTATCAATGTACGCAAAGACATAGCTTCTTCTAAAAGTCAGAAGCAGAAATTTAACTCTGATAAAAATCACAGACTTCTAGATTAACTTAAATATTGTTATCTTTTGGCAAATAAAAAAACTGAGTCCTGTAAGTACTATTAATTATTGGAAATCATGACTCAAAATGAATAAACATGGCCATCTTGAATGATAGAAATAAACCCAAAGCTATACTAGACTAGATCACAGAACTTGATAAATATCAACTGTGTGCTCAAATTACAAATTAATGTATTTTCTTACCTAGAAATATACTACTTTCTTACACTCAGCACATATTACTGACAAAAATTATAAATGAAATACAAATCACTTTTTGAAACACAAGGAAATCCATCAATATTAAAAACACCCAGTTTAAAAAAAAACACAAAACTACCCAGCTTACAAAACTGATATATCCAAATAAATTCATAGTTGTACTTTTAAAAACTGATGCAATTTAGGGAGTCATATAGAAAAATAGCTCCCAATTGTGTCTTCAGGCCTAAAATAAATGAGAATATGTTATCTATTGACTTAGCAGTCACGTCGTCTTAGAAATATTAAATATTTTCCTATTTTTAAGTGATCTTCACAATCAGGGAAAATATGCAAGTAATACAACTAAAAGCACATTAATTATTCAAATGAATAATCTCAACTTGCCCTTGCAGTTATGTTTCTTTAGTGGAGCACAGCTGAGAATAACGATTTCCAGTTCCATTAAGGAACCAAGATTTTGCATTATGAATTCTACACTATGTAGAACAAAATCACTTTATTAAGTAAAACAAAGCATAAAGGATAATTTTTAACAAATTTATCTAATCAGAAGATTAAGACAAAAATGAATCAGAAAAGGAAATTTACAAATAAGACAGTCAAGTATGTGATCAAATAATACACATAACTTCTGGCACTGCGTTGGATAGCTTTTGAAACTAGTATGGATTTATGGTATTCCAGAATGCTAGTTATTTATTACTCTTATATACTATGCATAAGAAACACGGGAAAGTGTTTATATATCTGTAATTAATTGTAACTATACCTCTTTGTTACTGCCTCTGGCCTCAACTGTCACCTCTTCCCTTCATTTTTCAAGATGGGTCTCCTTCTTCCACCCTTACCTGATGTCCATACCCTAACAGTTTCAATACTCTGATTAAATTTAAGACAACGCTGAGGACTGTCTAGGAAAAAAACCAGAGAATCATATACACCGTGTAATACTAAACCAAATATTCTGATGCCTAAAAAGGTACCATATAGATATGTAGTTGTTTTTTTCTGTGCTTCAGTCTTGCAGGTTACTTTTGAGATTTGACTTGCTAAAATAACTGCTCACATAGAGCCATATTCTAAATGGGGTTTCTTTTGTTCTTGTTATATGTTTTCAATTGTCTTTTTTAAAATCAGCAATATCAGGTTTTATGAAAATAACAATCCAGAAAGAAGCTACAAGAATATGACCCCAGTATTTTTTAATGTTAGTACTTAGGAGGGATTATAGCAAAAAAAGTAGTGGATAGAAGTAAAATTGTCATTGAAACAGTAGGCTTTTACAAACAAAAGCCAGCAGGCTTTTACAAAAAAAAAAAAAAAACAAAAATATCCATTACACTTTTACATACAAAATGACAAAAGAATGTCATTTTACAAAAAAAATGACATTCTGATTTACATTATCAGTTTCTTGTGAATGTGACTGACTCATATTCCCAAAGCCAATGAAACTGGTAAACTAATAAAAACAGTTTCAAAACTGATGGCCAAAAAAAAAGTTGAGAATAATACTGATGGAGACAGAGAATATCACATTCAAAAGATCTTCATCAAAAAAAGTAAAAGAATGTCAGCTATAAGTGAGAGATGATAACAAACAAGAAAGAAAAGAACTAAATGTTTAATAGTGGCAGAAGAGACATGAGCAAATTACAACGCTTGAGAAATCTTATAAAATTCCTAAATAAAAAGCCCATGAAAAATAAGTTTCTAACTTCTTTGCCAACATAATAACCAAAACATTATTTCTAATGTCAGTTAGGAGAGGATAGCTGTTCAAACCCTCCTACTTCTTTATATACCTGTGTTAGTACTCTAACTCATGCCTTTTTTCTAAAAAGTTCTTTCTTCTAAGAGACCACTTTCAAATAGGGAGTGTGTCTGTGTTGCCAGATTTTAAGTGAATCATTGTATTTCGAAAGGTAGTGGTGACCTAAAAAGGTCTATTTGGGCATGAAAACCACCTATAAATGGTCCAAAACCTTCTATCATAGAGCTCTATTCATACTAATAATAGGTACCATTTTAAAGAATACTAAGGTTTAAAGAACTATACAAGTATTACCTTTTACTGTGTATTTCTCTAGGATCAAATAGCCATTCTTCAACTAAAGTAAAAAACTCAAAGATAAATAACCTTTTCAAAGTTTCATTGCTAGAAGGGTTTCATTTCACAGCTGGTCAAACTCTGTAGCCTATATGTTACCTTCCATCACATGGTACTGCTTTTTCCATCTTGCAAATATGAAATGAAGGCAGTGGACAGAAAACTCCAGAGAAGATACATACACTGGCTAGTATGAACTGGCTGGCTCCAAGGATTTCTCAGAGCAGCAAATTTTCCTGGACTTTGGTCATCTGTTAACTGAGAAATTCATGTCTAAATGGTTTTTAACAATCCAGCAGCAACTCTCTGGCATCTTTATACCAGCAGAACAAATTTGTAAAACTACTACTAAGAACAAAATACATTTAAAAATGATTAAAGAACTACCAATACACTAATTTGAAATTTAACCAAAATTAAGTTCTAAATTTTCTGGCAAATATACTCAAAAGCATTTGACATATCAAATTTAACAAAAAACCACACCATTACTAAAAGCAACATTCAAAAGAATTCAATAACTATGCATTTAATCACCCTACAAACATAACTGAGAATCCATTTAATTTTTAACATGCACTTTAAATTAATAAGCCCCCTTTTTTTTTTACCTGTACTGTTTTTAACTGTTGGGTCTGTAACACAGAGGGCTGAGTTGTAGTATTAATCAGTTGACTTCCTGGGGTCAATGCTGAGACACCAATGACAGGTTTCACCTCTGGCCTCCCTCCAATGGTAACTACTTTAATTTGCTGCGGTGGTAACTTAGCATCTCCTGACTGGGCCTGAGTTGTAACTTTCTGAGCCTGGGGTAGTTGGCTATGGGGTAGTGCTAAAACAATTGGTGAACCAGACTTGCCCAAAGTTGTTAAAATTAACTTCTGTCCATCTGGTTTAAGGGTCTGATTGCCAAGTTTAAGGTCAGATGTCTGTGATACTTTGTTTAAAATAATCTGATTGGCTGATATAGTCACAGGAGTCTGAGCACCAAGTTTTTGAAGGCCACTTGGAAAAGCTGGTTTCACTGTGGTATTAGAATCTGCTTTAGTAATTGTGGTATTCACTGCAACTTGGTTAGTGTGGTTACTGTACACTGTGACTGGTTCCGTGGAAATGGGCGTGGTTGTAGAGTCACCAGTAGAATTTATGTTGACAATTTCTTCCAGTTCTGTCTCCATGGGAATTGGGGATGAAACAATAACAGCCTCAATACTATCATCATCCACTAAAGTTATACCAGTGTCCATTATCTCCTCTGGAAGCAAACTATTCACCTCAGCTGGCACCACCTCCATGATCGTTCTTCTGCTAGAAAGTTGATCAGGCGCTGTAATAAATGTTGAAAAAAATGAATAAATTACTAGGTTTCAAAACAGAGTTAAAGGAGAAAAGAATTATTCAAAAAAAACACAAATGACAATCAGTTTTATTGATGTATAATTGAATGTAGGATATTACCAATGCTTATTTGGAATCTGAAAGTTATATGGGACCAAAACTAAGAGCAAACATTCCCATTCTCCATGTCTCAATCTAAAAGTACACTGCATTCAGGTAACACCAAGTCACAGGGAACTCCTTTTCAAAGACTACCCATTCAATCTTTTTCATCTTTGACACATCTGGTCATCTTATTTCTTCCCAGTTTATGTTTTCTTTCCCATTGATAGACTAAAAACTGCTGATTCACACAAGAAATAAAGAGTTAACATTAGTGTTTATTGGGAAGTACCTTCAAACCTCTAATGAGTTAGGGACTACTATGAGAGTACTACGCCATTTAAAAAAACTATTAAATACTTCAAATGAATTTGTTATAGGAATTTATAGAGTAATCCATCTCAGCAACTGCAAATCATATGGCTTATTTCATCCAAACTTCATATTAAAAAAACCTTTATTTTTAAGAAGATTCTCAAATCCTCCTCAGCCATGTAAAATGTCAAAAAGGAAACCATTTAAGAGGTGTACAGTCAGCCCGCATAAAGAAAAAGAAATCATAATGACAATAAAGCAGATTCCGAACAAATCAGAACTAACTATGATGCTTTTAGCCAAAGGTGATGCAGAACCCCCAATAAAGGAGTATCATTATCTTCACATATTAAAGAGAGTACATCATGTTTATGACCGACTACATAGCAATAACTTACTTGCCCAGAGAACATCAAAGATCCGTAGTAACCTAAATAGAAATTCTTTCTTTCCTTCCCTTTTTTAAAATATAAAAATGTAATACCCACTCTGAAACTAAGAGTAACAGACATGAGTAGAAAATTATACTTGTTAGCACTGACAACTACTAATACTGCCAAAATTAATTACCATTGTTGAGTGCTTACTGTGTACCAGTGATGACATAATTTTATTTATCCCAACAACTCTGAGGCAGTATTATTATCATGCTGGTTTTACAGATAGGGAAACAATTTCCTGCAGTCACATAACTGTGACATAGAAGTTAGACAGCATAAATAGTGGAGCCAGAACTCAAACTCAGTAAATACATTATGACACCAAGGTTCATAATTTTAATCACAAAATTATATTGCCTAAAAATTCTGCCACTTATGTTTAATTGGAGAAAAGTATACTCCTTTATAGTCAAAACCCTGCCCAAAAATCCCACCCTATATAACCAGTGATCTCAGCAGATCACTATAGTTTTATTTTTTTGTCCATTCTAGAACTTCAACATAAATAAAACCACACATTATGTACTCATGACATAAAGGAATATATACTATAAACATTTTCTTTCAGCACATTTGTGCAAATTTATCTTTATTCTTGAACTTACTATTAACTTTGTCCCATTTATTACTGAGTAATATTCCACTCTACCAATCTACCACAATTTGTTTATACATTCGTTCGTGGATGGACATTTAGGTTGTTTCCAGTTTGGGACTATTATCAATAGTTTCCAGTTCCACATTTGAGATTGCCATGAACATTCAAATTCAAGTTCTTTATAGACACATATTTTCATTTCTTTTGAATAAAAACCTAGAAGGGAATTTGCTAGGTCATAAGGTTAAGTGTATTTTTAATTTTGCACGAACCTGCCAAACTATTTCCCAAATTGGCTGAACCATTTTATACACCCACCAGCAATGTGAGAGTTCCAGCTGCTCCACAGCCTCACCAACAATTGTCATTGTCAGTCTTTTTAATTTTAGCCATTCTTGTGGGTGTGAAGTGATAGCTTATTGTGGTTTTTAATTTGCAATTCCCAGATAATTAATAATGTTGAACATCTTTTCATATATGCATTATCTATTGGTATACCTTCTTTTGAAAAGTTCCTGTTAAGGTCTTGCCATTTTCAAAAAATATTGGGTTCTATCTTTTTATTCATTTGAATGAGTTCTTTACATATATTACAAAATCATCAACGACAATAACTTGCAGTTGAAGTTATTTGGGGACTCCAAAGTACCTATTTATAGGTGGCTCTTCCTGATCAGAAGAATCCCTTCTGGCACTTTATGGGCATTTACAATGCAGAAGTGTAAAACATCAACACCAATTATAACTGTAGCAATGGAAGCCACAAGAATATACAACAAAGGGCCCCACCCACAATGTCATATTAATGTCTCTTCCCTACTTAAACCCTTGCCCAAGTCCTATTGATGGAATCCCAACACTCCATTCCCCTCAGAACAAAACAGAAAATGACCTAGTTGCCAGCATCCAATCCATTCATAAAAGTTTGACTCTCTCCTCTCTCTGAAGTTACCCCAGCATATTTACACACATACTTATGGCCTTTGGTCTCCCTTAAGGACAAGTAGACCTCATCCAATCCCCTTTCATTTTTCTCCTTAAAGCACTAGCTAAACTCAAGGCGTAGGAGGAGGAGTATTCAGACTAGGGAGGGCCAAATTATGTACTTACTTTCAGTTTCAAGAACCCACACTTGCAGCTCAACTAATAAACATCGAATGCTTTCAATCTACCCAAAGCTTTATATCCTCATGTCTGCAGAACACCGTTTTTCTCAGCTCTGGGAAATCCCTGACTCAGCAGTTACAGCCACATTGCCATTCAGCTAGAGCCATGGAATTGAGCCTATACAACAACCCAAGCACCATTTGGGCAACCTTTCTGTTCAATGCCTAAATATTAATTTAAAAGGTAGAACACTGAAGGATTGTTACCCGAGTCCCCCTACCCTTGCCCACAACTTGAGTGAGAACATTTGCTATCAGATGCCGGAGAATCTTTTCATATCCCCTGGCCCACAAGGCCCTCATCCTTCCTCTTTCAGAAAGAGGTCAGTATCAGCATTCCATCCCCATGGGCTTAACTGTGGAGAACTGTCAGGAGCCTCAGATTTTAGACCTTCCTTGCAAGCTAACAAAGTAAATAACTTGTTACTGTTTCACGGATACTAGCAGACAATTCAGTAGTCCTAGTCAGAGAGGCAGGACTTATTACTCACAACACAGCAATGAACAAAAGCACCATGTGAGTATCAGTTCTCCCATGCCCCCAAGTATCACAGTGCAGATATGGAAACATTGTATATGCAGGAGGCTTGCATCACAATTGAGAAATCTGAGTTTAGGAAATGTAAATCATTTTTTACAGACTGAAGCACACCTGCCCTTTGTCCAGAGGGAGATATCTTTATTACACTGGACAATAAGCAAATCTGCCCTTTGCTATAGCTGGATTAATATCTCTATCATTCAAGGCTGTATAATATACAAACATCCTGGAAAAGATCATTTAAAAGGACTGTCATTTTCTCACTTGTAAGAGGTGTGGAAATGAAAGACCCATGGAGAACTGTCTCCTTTATTTATATATTTTAAGAGTACAGGTCTTACACATATTTTGTGAAATTATCCCTAAGAGTTTTGTTTTTTGATGCAGTGTAAATTTTCTTTTCCCATCTTCCAATGGTGTGTGGTTAATATTAGAAATAAAACTGATTTTTTTAAATTTTTCCCATGTATCTACAATCTAGTCAAATTCACTTATTAATGCTAGTATTTTTTCATGTAGATTTTTTAGGATTATCTATAAAGACAATTGTATGTCTTTTGTTTCTTCCTTTCCAGTCTGTATGTCTTTTGTTCCTTTTCTCTATCTTCTTATACTGGCTAGAGCCTCCAGTAAAAGGTGAAATAAAAGTAGTGAAAGCATATAATTTTCCTTGTTTCCAATTTTACCCACTAGCTGTAGGTTTTTCATAAACTTTCTTAACCAAGTTGAGGAAGCTTGCTGATATTTCCAGTTTATGTAGTTGGTTTCTTTCTTTCAATTATAAATGACTATTTAGGGCCTCCCCGGTGGCGCAGTGGTTGAGCGCTGGGTTGCGAAGCTGCCCGCGGCCTCTGCGGCGCCAGTTCGATCCCCGGCTGCTCCCTGGCCACTGGAGGAGGGTCCCACATGGCGCGCAGACCTCTCCTGCCGCCCGCTGCTCCCCTCAGCAGTGTACTTCGGTCCTTCTGCCTGCTCTGCTCCCCGCTCTGGCTCTGGTGAGTTCTCTCACCCTCCCGCGCTTCTGACTGTACCCAGTGCATGTATAAACAAAACAAACAAACAAACAAATAAATAAATAAAAAACATGCCTCTTAAAAAAAAAAAAAATTTTAAAAAAAAAAAAATAATAATAAATGACTATTTAATTCTGTCATAATATGCTTTTCCTGGGCCTCCCCGGTGGCACAGCGGTTGAGCGCTGGGTTACGAAGCTGCCCGCAGACTCTGCTGCGACGGTTCGATCCCCGGCTGCTCCCCGGCCACTGGAAGAGGGTCCCGCATGGCGCACAGACCTCTCCTGCTGCCCGCTGCCCCCCTCCGCAGTGTGTTTCGTCAGTCTGCCTGTTCTGCTCCCCGCTCTGGCTCTGGTGAATTCTCTCACCCTCCTGTGCTTCTGACTGTACCCAGTGCTTGTATAAATAAATAAACAAACAAACAAATAAATAAATCTTTAAAAAAAAAAAATATGCTTTTCCTACAACTATTGAGGTCATATGGTTTTCCTTTTTTAATTTGCAAATTACATTGATTTTTTTTAACTAGGCCAATTTTGCATTTCTGAAATTAATCTCACTCAGTCATAATAATGTATTATACTTTGTATATATTGCTGAATTCTATTTGCTAATACTTTGTTAAACATTTCTTTCTGTCTACACTCATCAGGGATATTGGTCTGGAGTTTTTATTTTTCTTGTAGTAACTGACTGGGGCTAATGCTAGCCTAATTAAGTGGGTTGACCAATTTTCCTGCCTCTTCAATTCCAGGGAAAAGTTGCCTTACAATTGTTACTATTTCCTCCTGCATGCACCAGTAAAGCCATCTAG